CAACTATGTACCGGGGGGCTTTGGGGAGAAAAAGGAAAAAAATAAAATCTTTAAAAAAAAAAAAAGGATAAAACCCCATGAGGAGAGAACCATCAGAAAGAAGTAGCCTATTCAGCAGAATGGGAATAATTCTCGTTCCTGACGGCCAGAATGGGAGAGTTACCCGGAGGATCACAGTCTGGTATGGGGTTCATTGATGAGCCCTAGAGTAATGTCTTCCTGGATGTGCTCTAACAGAACTTACAAGCAAACTGGGAATGGTCAAACTGATCTCAAGTGACTACCTGCCAGGAACAGGTCCAGAACTCTTTAAAGGAACACAAGAAAATCCAGCACTCACCAAAGTAGAATTCACATGTGTTAGTTTTCTAGAGCTGTTGTAACACATTAACCACAAACTTGGTGTGGCTTAAAACAACAGAAATTTATTCTTTCACTCTTCTGGAGGCCAGAAGTCTGAAACCAAGTGAAGCAAGGAGAAAGCAGAGGGAAGGTGGTGTGATCCAGATGCTACACTGGCTGCAGGCTGGCACAGAGAAGTCTCCCAGGGCTTATGGCCCAGCTGAAGCGGGGCTGGAGGAGAAAGTGCTGAAGTGTGTGAATTTATTCAGTGCAGCTGAGCTTGCTCAATGATATGGAGCCATTGTGAATATTGGTTTTTGGGTTGCATTATAGGTGAAGTTTCAAGGAACATCTGCTGTGACAGTACTGGTTAATGTGTCTTCAGTACACTGGTTTCAGGAACCATTGAGAAGTCTTTAGAGGCAATTATAATAATGAAAAATCTCTCAGAAGATAATACAAAGAAATTCACCTTAATGTCCTATAGTAGCCTGGCAGACTGCTTAAACCAAGAAAAAGTGTCTGGCAAGCACTGGTATGAAGACTGAAAAATGCATGTCAAAAAGAAAAAGGCTTGCCAGTGGCACCTCCACCATGATTGTGCCCAAGCAACTCAGCAAGCTTTGAGAAAGAGGAGGAGCTCTGTTTCAAACAGCAAAGGGTAGTCAAAATTTGACCAAATGGATTTGGTGGAACATCTCTTTTCTCAGACCTGTCATTACCAACATGGGCACATAAACTCATGTTTTTAAACTTTTATTGCATAAAGATTTTATAACTGCTCTGTCAGCTCAAGATGTGGGTCATGTTGCTGAGGATGTTCTGTCATTCCTACATGCCAGACCACTGGGTACAAAGAATGATGCATTATAGAAGATACTCAGCAAGAGAGTGATCAGACAGATGTTCTATGGCACGACCTACCAGACTAAGGAGAAAATAGAAATAGTATTAATTCAAAACAAACCTCTTGATGGGATTGTGTATCCCAACTTTTTTACAGAGCTTTACTTTATCCTAAAACAGTGAGATAACAAAATCTGATTAGAGATGGGAAAGACCTGATTTATGCAGAATCCACTGCTAAATTAAAACAAGCAAAGAAGTTTATTATCTACTATGTATATTGTGATGCTCAGAAGACAGTAAGTATTCTTCAAGTGAGAAGATAAGAATGTGTTGGATAAAAACACACTCTGGAATACAAGCAGGTTCTCGTGAGCCATGTGGCTTTCGTCGTGTGCCTTCAGTGTGATGAGAGAACGGTCCTAACTCCACTGCCAGAATGTGGACTGTTGGCATGTGAAAAACACTGATTCCTCATTGTATGGCAATTTTTCACTTATATCTCAGGAATGGTATGATGGTGACATGCTTCAAAGACTGTTCCTTTGCTTTAGGGGATGTAACCTCTGCAACCATCCCCCTCCTAAGGATGTTGGCTGTGGAGTTTGGTGACAAGGACATTGTTTCTACATCAGGAGATAAGGTTATCATAGTGTGGACGACAATACTGTACGCTGGTAAGGACCTAAAATGGGTACAAGTGAGGCATTGCCCTTTTGCAGTACCAGAACGGGCTGGTAGTGAGGTACTGAGTGATTCATTCAGCAAGCTCAGTTGTATTGAATAAATTCACAGATGATGTCTGACCCCATCAGGTTGTGGGACTGTGCTAGTCTGCCAGGGCTGCTGCCAGAAAATACCATAGACTTGGTGGCTTGAACAACATAAATGCATTTGCTCACAGTTCTAGAGGCTAGAAGTTGAAGATCAAGTTGCTGGAAGTTGAAGATCAAGTTGCTGGCCTGCTTGGTTTCTCCTGAGGCCTCTCTCATTAGCTTGCAGACAGCTACCATCTCACAGTGTCCTCTCACGGCCTTTTCTCTGTGCACGTGTGCTCCTGGTATCTCTTCCTCTTTTTATAAGGACTTCAGTCCCTTTGGATTAGGGCCCCGGCCATATGACCTCATTTTACCATAATTATCTCCTTAAAGGCCCTATCTCCAAATATGGTCACATTGATGGTTAAGGCTTCAACCTTTGAATTTTGGTGGGGGTCACAATTCAGTCCATAATAGGAGCATAGAGTATGCAACATGTTTACAAGGACTAAAGGACCATGAGAAGTTGGTGTTCTGTATTTGATTATGTAATGAGGTTAATCAGTGGGTACTTTAATGAGAAAATTGAAATGTAGAATCCTAAGTCTTTTGCATCCCTGTACCTCTGAAGGGACACTTTTGTCCACACTCCTTGGTGGTAAATTCAGGATGTTTTCTGGCTCCAGTTTGATGAATTCCAGCTTGTCAGTAGTTCACACAAAGACACAAGCCAATGTGGGACTTCCTAAATGATTCTGGTGCCGAAGCTGAATCTCTCCTGCTCTCCTTCCCAGCAGCCACCTCTGGCTCCAGATAAACGAGCATACATTGACCTCAGACTTGCTTAAGACTCATCAAAGCTGGGCTGTCTCAGTGTACCAGAGCCGGGATGAGGAACACAGGAACAAACCCCCACACAGTTTTTCGGGACTGGGTTTCATCATGAAAGGACCGCATTGGGTGACCCAGGATAGTTGGTCTCCTTGGGACAGCCGCCTGCTTAGGTACCACTATCCAAAATGTGTCTCATCTTTCATGAGTGATTAGGATCTCCTGTGCTGCCTTCTCTCCTCTCTGTGTCTTCTTCCCCATGTTTGATTCTAGATACACATGTATTTATTCTATATACGTGTATTTAGTCTTGAAAAAAAATGAAAGAAAAAAACTGAGTTTACATGCTGATTCTACCACTTACTAGTTTAGTTGACTTTAGGCAAGTTATTAAATTTCTCTGCACATCAAATTCCTCATTTATAAAATTGAAATAGGAATTAATGCCCTCACAGGGTTGTCATAAAGATTAAGATAACTTAGGTAGGCAACCAGCCTGGTACTTAGAACATAGCAGGCACTCAGAACATTGGCTCACTGTCCCCCTCTGTCATGGTGCGAGGTGGGAGGAGAAAGGAGAGGCAGCTTGGAGAAGGAAGAATGAAGAGAAAAGTGGAAAGTTCCACTTTTACACGAGGATTTGGCATCGGTATGCTAAGCGTTATAAGTGATTTGTAAACTTTAAATATCACCGTGCATGGCACGCTGTAAATTAGGGACTTAGCTGAGCAGTACAACAGGAATTGCATTTGCACCATTTGAGTTAAATTGTTGTTAATGCCCTTATGTCATATAGTGACAGCAGTTAATTTCAAATTTATCCATTAAAATCACCTGGTTGATCCGTTAAAAAATACTGTATTGTAAATTAATTGAAGGGTACCACAAAAAGTTTTGTGAAGTGTTATGGAATCCCCTGCTTAAAACTCCTCTCTTTTCTCATTGCCCATGTTATGAGTCTAAACTCTTTCACCATGCGTGACCTGGCCGCTGCTTACTCCTGTAGCCTCAGTTTCCCCCACCCTCCTCGCTCAGCTCTTGCCTCTAATGCTGGGCTTCCTCCTCATCAAACTGCTGTAGGTTTCTCTTGCCTGGACTCACATGTGCAGTACAGTCTGTTTGAGACACGCTTTCCATCTCTTCACCTGACTGACTCCTGGTTATCCTTTATTCTCCTGGAAAGCCTGGGTGAGGGACCCCTTCTAGAAATCATCCTATGTATCATCATGTATTTAGTGCCTAGCACAGTACCAGGCACATTACGATTTCATTAAATACTTGTTAGTTGAATGAATCAGTACTCAACCTAAATACAAAGTATTATAATGATAAAATTTCCCCATTACATGTGTAGTTGTTCAACCTGTAAATTTTCAAATCTCATTTAAGTAAAAAAAATAGTTTATCCTTTCATGTACATATTATGTCCTACTTGATATAGTGCATCACGTCTAAAATGGGTTGAGGTCGGCCTCCTTCCTGTAGCTGCTCTAAGAGGTTTATAAATGCCTGTGCAGCCATTCATTTTGACTTGGGTTTTTCAAAAGAGAAAAAATAAAATATAATGACTACTGTCACCACACAAAGAAGAGCATTCTCATAGGAAGCCTCTTCCTCTTAAATTTGCATCTAGGGAAAATAAGCTGGTTATAAGGGTACTTTAAAAGATAGTCAAAAGATTTAGGTTGTTGATATAAAATATCAAAAAACATATGTGTTTGTAGAGAAATGTATCTCAGAAAGAAACATTAACAGTAAACCAAGTGATCACAATGAAGTTATGTAATCAGGTTGTCTCATTGAGCTTTTCCTTTCATGAAATTGTTGACGTTCTGAAGAATTTTTTTCAGGTGCATCTGCTTAACACGGAGCATGGCATCCAAGGGTGGTATAAAACAATTCTGAGAAAGTGAATGGGGTGTGAGCTTTTTTTTTATTTGCTTCACAAGTAATTTACTTTAAAAAAATGAACATCTGTTATTTTGAAGCTAATCTTAGTGTATTGAATGCTTTTAACCATTTCTCAGTCCCACAGTCTTTTATCTTGCCTCTCCTGCTGTGCTCCCACCACCCCTGATCCTGTTAGCAGACCTTGAGCCGGCCTCAGACTCACCAGAGGACGGCTTTGGTTTCAGCTGCTCTTCTGCAAGAGGAAGTGAATGCTGGGGGTTTTCTCTGTGGTACAGTGGTGATAAAGCTGTGGTGGTCTTATCTCTCTCTTAGGTAGTGGCTCTTTATGACTACACAGCGAATCGATCAGATGAACTAACCATCCATCGCGGAGACATTATCCGAGTGTTTTTCAAAGATAATGAAGACTGGTGGTATGGCAGCGTAGGGAAGGGACAGGAAGGGTATTTTCCAGCTAATCATGTGGCTAGTGAAAGTAAGTTTTATGCTCCCTTCCTGGTTTACTACTATGGTATAACTGATAGTCCAAGATTTTATCATTTTCTACCCTTTAATTGACTGTCTTTTAATTTTTGCATGTTTACCAATGGTTATTGCTTTTCATTCTCGTGATGCTAAAACATGGAAAGGGGGAGGCAGTAGTACACTGGAAAGCGATCACCTTCTGAGATTGGAATATTTGTGCACAGACTTCTCATCCCCAGGGCCTGCCCGTCTGGCTACCATCCTCATCCTCCAGCCCCTTTCCCTGCCACCGCTTCACGCTCAGTTGTGTCAGCTCTTCTCTTGCCATGGTGACTCTCCAGCTGGCAGGTTCCTTAAGAACCTCCAGGTCTGCAGCTCCTGTTCTTTCACTTCGTGTACCTCAGTCCTGGCTGTTCCCTGCTGAAAGAAAACTACGTTAGATAGTGTCATTCTCCAGTAAATTGAGCCCTCGTTTGTGAAGGAAAAGAAATGAGCTGGAGAAGAAATTCTAAATAAGAGCTTCTGAAAGCTGCAGATTTACTAGTAGGCCTTGAGAGGTGAAAACAGAACTAACACAGAGAGCCTAAAGATAAAATAGTGTAAAGACTGGAGAAAGGGGAGAAATATAGTCATGCTTCTTCAGAAGAGTGCTTCCTGTCAGCAATTAACGTGACCGTGTGGTAGGAAGACACCACACGCAGGGTCAGGAAAACTGATTCTGACGCTGGCTCAACAACTGATATGCCTCAGTTTCCTCCCGTAAAATGAGGAAGTTGGACTCGATCATCTCTAAGCTTTCTTCCAGAAACAGTAAAATCGGATAGTTCTGATTTAAAATGTAGTAAGGCAGGCTTGAGAGCACTCTATGTTTTGAATATTTGTTGCTAAGTCTTCTGTTTCTGCAAAGAAGTAATTATTATAAATGATAGTTGGTTTTCAGGCTAGTCTGTGAACCTCCATTTAATCCAAACTATGGCTGAACAGAAGTACTATTGATTCCCCTGAGTTCTGAATTTTGAGAGCAAAAGAGATGATGGAAAGGAGGAAGAAAGGCTTCTCCCCTGAGTCCTGGAGGCTGGGCTGCGCCTGATGGAGCATTCCTCTTTGGCGCCTGCCACTGCCTTGTCTGCACCCTGGGACTTCCCAGTGCCCCTCCCTGTCCCTCAGGGCTCCGGCACTCTCTGCCTCTCCTGTCCTGGGCTCCTCTGCCTGCTCAGCACTCTCCTCCCCTCAGAAGGGCTCCGTGTCACCTCTCTCCTAACGAAATCCTTCCTCTCCTCTGTGCCACTGTTCTCCTTCTTTGCTGAGTAGTAAATGACTGACAGCTCTGAAACTCTATATTTTTATGTTTAAAAGAGGATGCATAATGGAGAACACTTAAGCAGGGTGGAAGGAAGAAATTTTAGGTCGCTTTCATTCCCAGTCACCTCCCAAAAGCTCAGCACTTCCAACTCACAGACCTTCTCAGACGCCCACACTCCTCCCAGCAGCGGCTTCCCCACAGGACCCACAGCTGGAGTTGGGCAGGGATAGCTTCTGTTTTTAAATGAAGAGCTATCTGCATAATCATACTCACTCTGGAGGATATCTGTCATTTTAACTAGATGTTACCATCTGTTGTTTCTTCCAGATACAAATGGAAACATTTAAAGTTTTTCTTACTTGACAATATAAAAAGATTCTGAGTTTCCAGACAGGATGGTGTTAGGTGCTTTAACTTTACAACCTAGTTAGTTTGCCGAAATAACTTCTTAGGCTTGCAAATCTTGAGAGGCTATACATATTTGATTTAAGTGAGCTAAAAATTCAGTAGAATTTGGTTTTCTTCCATAATAACCAAAGTGAGACTTCTGAAGCGTACTGCAATGACGGTGGTTGGCCGCATGCAGAAATCCGTTCCATGTCTCCAGTAGTGACCATCCGTCAACTGCCATTGTTCTTTGTATCCCAGAATACTTGATGTCTTCTTTTGGCATCAGTCACTGCTTCTTGAAAAAGCCTTGTAAAGGCCAGAACAAAAAGAAAAAATCTCAGAAAACCTGAGAATATAGTGATTGAATTCTCACTTCATCAGAGATTATTTCCCTTTCCCTTTTATCCTACTTTTTACCTGAATTTAACGAAAACTCGCTTGTCCAGTTTTAACATTAGAGGAAAAAATTACTTTCAGCAGCATATTCCACTCTAAAAATAGTGGGAGAAATTGTCCTTTATCTGAATCCAAATACACCAAGCACCTGATGGGAAGGAGTGGATATGTGAACAGGTCTCCACCAGTTGCCCACCTGAGAGTGGGTCCTCAGGAGAACACCGCAGCAGAAGGCGCCATACAGGACTCACTCCCTTTCTGTCTTAGGCTGTTGGAAATAAAACAGCATCAGCTTCCCTTAATCACATCTAACATCCTTTCCAGTAAGACACAAAGAAGCCCCATAATAGGGCCGGCCCGGTGGCGCAGCGGTTAAGTTTGCACACTCCGCTTCTCAGCGGCCCAGGGTTCGCCACTTCGAATCCTGGGTGCAATCATGGCACTGCTTGGCATGCCATGCTGTGGTAGGCAGTAGGCATCCCACGTATAAAGTAGAGGAAGGTGGGCACAGATTTTAGCTCAGGGCCAGGCTTCCTCAACAAAAAAGAGGAGGACTGGCAGTAGTTAGCTCAGGGCTAATCTTCCTCAAAAAAAAAACCAGATAATAAAATCAACCCATACACAAGCCAGTCTTAGAATTTTCGTCAGGTGTATTTTAGCAGTTTCTCTCAATTCAGTTGCCCAAGTCATTTAACCTAGTTAAATTTTCTTTTTAGCCCTTTAAAATTCCCACATAACTTTTTAGATTCAACACCTTTTGTAGATTAAATAGATTATATAATCTTAATCTTAAATAATCTTAATTAATCTTGGATTTTAAGACTCTTAGATTCAGCATGGTGAGTAGATTCAGTATTGTGTATAGAACTAGCCCCGTGCTTATTTATTTCACACATCTTCCCAAATTATCCTTTCTCCATACCTCCACCTGGCAAAATCTTACCTATTCTTTAGAGTCTGAGATACTTCCCACTTCTTCCATTAAAGCGTTTGCCATCCCCTCATCAGAATTTGTCTTTGTTACTACTCTCTTTCAAATAACATCACGCTCTGTTTTATGTTACGGTTACTTGTGAGCATATCTGTCTCTGATCAGACTGTCAGCTTCTTGAGAGCAAAGACTGTCTTTTGATCATCTTCACATCTCCTCCAGCAGTACTTAGCAGGTAACCTTGCATAATGTAGGTTCCTGGTAAATGTGTATTGAGATAAAATGAAATAAGCATCTGCATGACCACACAGTAAGTGAAAGTGACACCTTCTACATCTCTGAAATCCTGCTGATCAAAGCTTAGCAATTATAGATTATATTCTTCTGATAACTAATGTTTAAGGCTACAAATCATCTTAACAATACGTGCTGGGTAGCTTAGACCAAGGAAGTGGCTACCAGTCTCCTTAGTTTCATATCTGCCCCCTCCCATCGTTGTTTTTCCCCATGAACAGTGCTTCTCCATTTGATGACATGAGCTTCTTTTTCAATTCCAGCACTGTATCAGGAACTGCCTCCAGAGATAAAGGAGCGATCCCCTCCTTTAACTCCCACAGAAAAAACCAAAATGGAAAAACCTTCTTCAGCTCCTCAAAAGGTAAATGTTTTCAAGAATAGGTATTGCACATATACTTTGATTTTCGCTCTCTCTGGATAAAATATTACTTTATTTTTCATGCTTATATCCTTCATTGTTTACATTATAATTTCTTTTAATATTGGCACCAACATGAAATATATAAGGCAAATATTATTGTAGCCATTTTTCAGATAAGGAAACTGAGGAGGCTCAGAGAGATTATAAAATAGACCCCCAAGTCACAGCCCAAGAGGTGGGACGAGGACCCACGCTGGAACTTGTGGCTTTAAATGTGATGCTGTTTCCACTCTATGCCTGTTTCTGTAACTGTGATACTGACACTGTCATTGGTCCCTCCTGAGGGGTCCACATTTATGCTGAAGGTCACTGGAGCCCACAGAATACAGATGTTCTGTCTTCCTGGAGCATTCCTTTACTCACTAATCATTTAAAATGTTTTCAGGTTAAGATGAATATGGATACATTATTGGCCAGAGAAATGTGATGTTTTTAGCCTGGATCGTCAGACACCTCAGAGGTGTCAGTCAGCATTCTTCTGATGTTAGTGGTACTATGGTAGAAAAGTTTAGTAAGCACCATACCAGCATCTGTGTTAGTTACTAAACTTGTTCTGTGACATTAGCTCTAGCCTTAGACTGAATAACTTTGCTGCTTCTTGACTCCATGAACTGGCATATATGTGTGTGTGTGCATATATATATATATATATTTTTTTTTTTTTAAACAAATTCCATGTCATGGTAGAGTTTTTGATGGTTGGGCCTGTCTTGTATTGTTCAGTCACTCCTCTTGTATCTGTTGAGCGCTGACTTCCATACTGAGCACCCTGCCAGTCCTCACTGAGACAAGGTTGAGTGGGCAAGGTGCTTGCCCTTGAGGAGCTACAGGCTGGTGAGGCCCTGCAGGCAGGCCTTTCCAGTGGATTGTCGTGGGCCCTGTAGTGAAGATCTGTACAAGTGCATTGGGAACACATAGGAAGAAACCCCCTGAGTCTGCCCTGGGGAGGTCATGCTTAAGCTGCAGCTTATAGGATGAAAAAATATGTGCCAGGTAGATGATCTTAGAGAAAACGTTCTCGCAGGGGGAATAACTTGAGTAAGGTGTGACATGGTGTGGCTGAGTTTGGGGAGCATAGGGTCTAATGGAGAGAAGGACAGGAGAAGTGCAGGAGCCGGGCCATGGGGAACCTTGTGTACTCTCCTCAGATGCTTGGATTGTATCCTTCAGACAAAAAGGATCCCCTGGAGAAGGTAATCCAGGGAGTGACATGTACAGATTTCCATGTAAAAATGTCATTCTAGTGACAGCATAGTGGTTGGATTAGAGGTGGCTAAGACCCGGGGCAGGGAAATTAGTTAGGAATCCATTGACATAAAATATAAAAGCTTGAACTAGTGGGATTGGAGGGGAGGGGTCATAAGATATAACTGACAGGATTTTGTGATTGACTGGACATGTTCAGAGAGGTTGGCATCTAGGACTGTGCTCAGGGCCCTGGCTTATTATACAACTGAACAGGTAGTGGTACTGCAGAAATAGTGAAAGAGGAAGATTGGAGGAGATGGAGACAAGGAATGGTGGGGAGTAGCGTGTGATGAGTTCCGTTTTAGTTACCTTGGTTTGTTAGTAGTGTCTGTAGGGCCCCCAGGTAGAAATAATCATCACTAAGGAACCAGAAGTGCAGGATTGGAATTCCAGAGAAGGTAGGGCTTCAAAATAAAATGGGGAGGAGTTAGTGTATTCACCGTGTTATACCCCTAGAGTTGAAGCTTGCAGTGAAGGAGATAACCCAGAAAAGATGTTGTAGAGTTCTGAGAGAAGGCGGCCAAGGACAGATTCCCAGTTGGATGCTGGTACTTAAGGGACAGTCAAAGGAAGAGGAGAAGATTAAGAATAATTGAAGGGGAAGGAAGAAGCCAGGAAAAAGACATGTCCTGGAAGCCAAGGAAGAAGAAAGGTTCAAGGAGGGTATAGTCAGTAGTGTCAGAAACAGGCAGTCAGTTTGGTTGCCTAAGCACAAGGCAATCAGGAGGGCCCGGGCCCCTTTGCACTGGTATTCAGGATTGATACCGGTATAACAGGATTGAAGAGTAGAATGGGCCTCAGCAAGTAAATTCATGGAAGTCAGTCCCAGAACTTCACTCAAAGTAAAAAATGGTCAAGCAGTGGCTGGAGGGAATAACTTTTTAAGTGTTGGAGTGACACACAAAATTATATACTAAGGAGACAAAGCCAATGGACAGGTCCAGGGTGAAGATAGGTAAAGAAAACACACATGGATCTTGGAGGAAGCAGGAAGTTTTTATCAGAAAGACAGGTTAATAGATTAGTCTCGGGTTGGAGCAGCGGATCTCAGACTAAGGGTGATTTTTGCCTCCCAGGAGACCCTTGGCAGTGTGTGCAGGTATTTTTGGTCATCTCAACTGCAAAGACGGGGGATATTACTGGCATCTACTGGCTAGAGATCACGGATGTTGCTAAAAGTCTTATAATGCAAATGACAGCCCCCCTCAACAAAGAATTATCTGGCCAAAAATGTCAGCGGTGTTGAGCCTAGAGCAGTACCCCTCTGTGACAGGTACATGTGCATGAGGATGCAGATAAGTTGATAGAGTGGAAGTCTAGAAATTAAGGATATCTTTATGTTCTCCAAAACAGAAAGGAAAATCCACTTCAAATGCAAGAGTCAGAGGAGTGAGCTGGGAAGAAGAATAGTGACCGTTAGAATACCTGTAAGGACGGAGGAAGCAGGAGCTCGTTTGGGACATAGAAAGAGATTCCTGAGTAGTTCTCAGAGCTGCTGCTTGGATACCATAAAAGTGTAGGTGGCATAATTCTGTGTAGTTGGAGCTTTTCTTCATTAGTGCTCGGCACCTAGGGCATAGCCGTGGAGAAGGCAGACTTGGTTTGATACGTAATTGGAGTTGTTGTGGGTGTGAGAGAGGACAAGAGGGTGGGAGACTTGATAGCGTTGGTAAGAGAGTCACTGGAGTGACGCACCATGGAGGGTCAGCCAGATTGGAAAGGACGTGGTATCAGGAGAAGACTGGCAGACTTAGAAAGCAAGGTTCTTTGCAAGGTTGCAGAAGCCACCCACACCCAGGTAGAAGCAAAGTGTCACACAGTAAAGGAGTTCACAGACTGAACTGTGGTGCATAAAGCCAGAAACTCTTTTGCTTGTTTAATATTTCCTATGTCAGGCAGCTCGAGGTTAGAATAAATTCACAGAGTATGTATAAGAGCTGAAGTGAAGTTGAAGGACATGATTAGACCTGGGCTAGCCGAGGAGCCAGCACCCAGGGTGTTGTGCAGGTTGTCCTCTTGGACAGTAAAATTCCAGGATGACTGCAAGAGTTGGGATGAAGGAGACACTGGTGAACCAAGAGCTGAATTCTTAATTCTTGGTTAGAGCAGATGTCTCAACCTTGGCTTTGCATTGATATCAGCTACAAAATTAAAAAAATCAATGCCGATGCCTGTCCCCACACGAGATTGATTTAATTGGTCTGGAATGGGTAGATTGCAAAAGCTTTCCAGGTGATTTTAATGTGCAGCCAACTTTGAGAACCATTGTGTTAGAGTGACCACAAGGTCTGAAGGTAACAGCTGCAAAGATAAGCAGAGGTTATTATTGCCAGGTGTCAAGGCTCCCAAGGAGGGGTGCTTTGAAAGAGTAACAGCCTAAAATCAGCAGCTGAGAGCTAAGAGGAGGCCAGTGTTAACTCCAGTCCTCATGGCTCACGGTTGGGTTATGTGAGAATGAACAGCCTATGCTGCAAAGAACTGAAAGAAAAATGTTTCTTGGTAAAATACCAGTTTCAAATACAGCAAGAATCTATGGTGATGGTTGACTATGCCAGTATGGGGACTACAAGGGATACAGTTGAAAGGACTGGCAAGCAATTTGACTATGGGCAAATGTTACATGTGTAATATTATCCATTGTCTGGAATGCACTAAATTTAAGAATGTAGGAAGATGCTAATGTAAATATGCAACCTGAAGGTGTTTAATGCAATGAAAGCATTTATAACATTGGCATAGGCAGTCACTGTGACAGGTAACAATGTTTGTAGTCTGTCAAGAACTGTGTGAGATGCTGTGAAAGACACAGGCTTTACTTGTAGTGGCTTACTGGTACCTCTGACTCTGCATCACGCTGACCTCTGAAATTGGGGTCACCTAACTCCCCCCTCTGTGTGCTCCTGTCCAATAGCCTTGAACTAATTCTGCCTCAACTAGACGAGCTAGAAGGAATTCTCTCAGCATCTTCCTGGTTGCTGTGAAGTTGGCGTTGCCTTCCTCTTCCTAATGCGCCTGTGTGCTGTGGATAGAGACCCCCTGCCTGCTGCCAGCACTCCCTGCTTCTCACTGCCCGTGCCTCTCCCTGCTTAGGTGATGACTACTGCATCATGGTCTTGGTCTAGACTGTAGTTGACTTTTTAACTTTGTGTGCCTTTTCCTCTCACAGACTGGTCTCCATGCTTAAATCTGCCTTCATTTTCTATCCCAGCAGACCAGTCCTTCAAATATCCAGCTCAACCCTGAGGTCTGCTTCAGGCTAATCCCACTGCTGCGTGAAACCTAATTCTAATAGACCTCAGAGAACTTGCCAACATGCACAGCAAAACATTTGAAAACATAAGTAAAGGAAGGGAGTTGCAGACGATGAGAATCCATTTGGGTAAAGGAGTAGAAAAGTTCTTATGGAGAAGATGGAGCTCAAATTGGGCTTTAAAGTTTAAGACACATGGATTTCCTTTATTGAAAAACATGATTGATCTGCTTTATCTGAATCCATGTGTTAAAATAAAATCCTACATATATTTTTCCTTTGGGGAATGTACCACATATATAGTTGGGCAATGTTTTACTTCCCTGTGGGGGAAAGTATAAAGAATGATCAATGCTTACGGAAAAAGAAGTCCCTGAGGAACATGAGTGTTGTCCCAGGTAATCACAATGCCTTGGGTGCACTGGGTCATGACGCAAACAGC